TAAGGAATGGACTTAGCAAGCCTGTAGTAATTGGACCCTAAGTAAGACTCCTAGATATATAAATAGGGAACTTAGAAGGCACCTAGAACCCCCCACCACAATAATCTCTCACCACACCAAGAATTCCAAGAATTCCCCTAGGAGAAATCAAGAAAGAAGAAAGCTTAAAGAAAGACCCTTCATAGCCAAGGAATTAATTAAGGCTAAGAGGTAACCCATGTCTTAACAAAACCTATTTTTATAGCTATGATTCCCCTCTTAGGGCTTCCCCCATGTTATTGTGTATTGATGATTCGTGGTATTATTATTGTTAATTGATGTGGTGATTCCATGGGTGATCTTGATGATGAGAGGATCTTGATAATTATGGTGTTCTTGATGATTGTGTGGCAATCTTGATAATTATGTGATGTTCTTGATAATTGTATGATATTCTTGATGCTTATGTGTTGTTCTTACCGAATCTCGATATAAGAAGATGAGTTGTGTTCTCGTTGATTAAAAAGTGATTAGACCCTAGGTTATACCGTTAATATCATTCTTGGTATATTGGGTGGGAATTCGCATGTTTGGGTGTTAATTATGTTTAGAAAAGTATGATAGGATACGTGCCGTATGTTTCTTGATTGTGATCCGTTAATTGTCCACGTGTTGTTACCAATTGCGTTTGAAAGTGTCTAAGCATGGTTTCGGGTTCCACAAGGGTTCCCGGGGCGTTTTTGTGTTGAAAGGAGTCAGTGGGGGGTGGGTGGGGGTAGGGGACCCGCCACCTACCCGCGGCCGACTTGGGCAGCTCCGGCAGCGGGCAGCTGCCCGCCGGGCACCCGCTGCCAGGAACAGTAACACCGGCGGGCAGCCGGCGGGTGAACCCTCACCCACCGGCTACCCGCTGGAAAATATCCCAACCAGGGATTCCGGCTTCCCCGTTTGATGTTCCCCCGACCCCCGTGGCGTCCCAACGGACCCCTCCTATCGTGCCTATGTCTAGTTTGATGTTCGGATACCGTTCGTAGGTCGAATGAGTCTTGTATATTGCATACTAGTTGAATTGGTATTTCGTTGACCTAGGTATAAGAAGTATGAACCCCTTAGGAGTATTCTTAGTTGTGGATGACCACACATAGATTTCGTTATGCGTCTCCCCCTTCCCAATGTGTTAATATGGGTTGCATGTGCTTGCTATGTGTTATGTGTGCATGTTACCCCGATTTGGTTGAGATCAATCGGGCTATACGGGCAGTCGGATGGGTTGAGAACCATACTGGCTGTTAACCAGGCCGGTTAAGATCGGTAAGGTATATAAATATTATATAGGACAGAGGTCCACTATACGGGCAGTTGAATGGGTTGAGAACCATCCCAACTGTTAACCAGGCCGGTTAAGATCGGTCAGGTATATAAATATTATATAGGACAGAGGTCCACTATACGGGCAGTTGAATGGGTTGAGAACCATCCCAACTGTTAACCAGGCTGGTAGAGACCGGTCAGGTATATAAATATTATATAGGACAGAGGTCCACTATACGGGCAGTTGGATGGGTTGAGAACCATCCCAACTGTTAACCAAGCTAGTAAAGACCGGTCAGGTATATAAATATTATATAGAGCTGCGGTTCATCGGTCGGTTGCGATCGACCCCTCCGTATTGTGAGACGAGGCAGGGTGCTGCGGGGCCGTGTCAGAGCTATATGCGCTGACCCTCATGTATGGGCATGCGATTGGTCCTGTGGCGCCAACAAAGTGTGCTATGTGATGAGATAAGAAGAATTGATGATATGACTGTTATGGAAACATGACCATAGGATTCTTACTAATAATACTTAGTTGTGATTGTTGGTTGTGCTTATCTATAACTGTGCCCTATGTGAGAACTGTATATGCTTGTTATAACTGTTGCTTGTGCTTAGCTCTGTCTGTCGAGTCTATCCCTGTTTTAAAAGCTAGAGTTCGTAGGATATATCTTCATGCTCAAATGATTTTCGTATATCTATATATATGTCTCTATATGTATTGTATTCCAACGCGTTGGAGTGGGTTACCAGCATCTCTCGCTGAACAGATATATTTGGCTTTCAGGCACAGAAGAATAAGTCACTGGAGCGCGCTAGAGCTTGGAGCGTAGAAGTAGATAGTTTCCCTTTCGGCCTGCGTGCCATGTTATGCATTTGCTTTATTAAGGACATTAGTTAGTTGGCCTGTGCACCTGAGTTCTCTAGCTCAGGTGTGGCATAGCACCCCGTACTCTTTATGTTACGTTTTTGGGAATTAATAAGATTTCACCTTTATTTTATAAGTTTAAATATCTTGAAAATCTGGGGTGTTACACCCCTCCCAATACACCGATGGTGCTGCCCAGACCATTAGGGGTGGTAAAGGAAGCAAAACGTGGGGGGGGGGGGGGGGGGTGAAGTAATGGAGGCATGGACACAAGGCATGAGATACGTGAATGGTGAAGGTGATGGATAAATACCGATCACACACTTCGCAGGCAATAGGAGGGATCTCAACTAGGGCTGTGTAATACCCGCAATATCCGAACAACCCGCCCGATCTGAACAATGATTCACTGAATGGTGAGGAAATCCGAGAACTTCGGATAATATCCGAACCGGGAAGTGATTGTTTGTATTGTTAGTGTTTTGAGTCTAAAACCCTAACATGTAATTGGCAAAATTATTATGGCAAATTAGATATGTTTTCTGTTTTAGAGTTTGAAGACTGAAGTTCTGATTGATCAGATATTTCGACAGAGCGTCTCAGAATTAAAATCGTTGGAGATCATATATTGAAGACGCGTATGAGCTGGCAAACGCGGTTTTGAGTTGATATTTCAAGAAAGAATATCAGTAAATCATCTCTCCTTAGGTATGGACGAAATCTCCTTAAAGAATCAAGATTGATTAGCTATACAAGTCCGACTTTTTACAACCAGAGCTATTTTTGGAGAGAATCAAAGACAAGAAGTATTTATGCATACAAGCCTTCACAAGTTAGGGTTGAATGCCTTGAAGCCAACACTCTCAATACTAAAAGAATACACAGCTCTGGCTATTCCATTCCTTCTCAAGAAATACAGTTTATGGTGCTTAAGAAGATGAACTTGAGAAGAATCAATCATGCTTAAACCAGTGGACGCGAAGATCACTCAGTTGTGGGAACAACGTGGGACTGCGTCAGTGAAGCGGACTGCATCAGAGTTAGCTCTCCATTGAAGGGATTTCATTGGACTTCTGGATGCGCGGCTCTCCGACTTCAACAATCGACTAAACCTCTGTAGACTGGGTACTGACCTTGTGTGGGGCACTTGGGTGAGATCGTTTTTCTCTACATTTGTACATCAGATTATGAGTTAGTGGATTGGACGCATCGGTAATCGTCCCCCAGACGTAGATACACACTGTATCGAACTGGGTAAACAATATTTTGTGTCTTTTACTTCTTTTTGATTTAATTTCCGCACCAAGACTATTCACTGATCTACTGACTGATCTACGACAGTGCTAAGTCAATCACTCAAACAGAATCATACTAAATATTATCTGGACACAATATTTAACACAAATATAGAAATTACATGTATATAAAAGACGGACGGGTAGGGTTAGGATTTATCCCATCCGAACCCGTTCGAGATCCGAAGTATAGGCTTAGTATAAAACCGTGCTTAGACCTAGGTTTGCCACTTTGCCATTTCCATTCTCTGATTCTCTCCACTCCTCACCTCAGAGCTTCTTCTCGATTTCTCCTTCCCATCTGATCTTCTCATCTGATCTTCTCGATTTCTCCTTCCCATCTGATCTTCAGTCCTTCTCATCTAATCTTCTTCCATAAGTTCCGTTCTCCTGTGAATCTCTGATTCTCTGAAGTCTGAGAGTCTCAGAGTCTGTCCATCCCGAACTCCCCTTCGAGTTTTCGACAGTTCGACGGGAATCTTGTAGAAGTCTCTGTGCAAACTGGAAAGACGGTAGAAGCCGGACGCTAGTGGAAGTTTGAAGCCTTGAAGCCCTAGATCTCTGAGGGAACCTTGAGAAAACAAGTAAAATGTAACTCTGTCATTTTTTTTTCTTATTTTCCCGCTGCATGTTTGTCTGTTTTGTTCTAGTTCTATGATGTTACATGAACCCTAATTTGTAACTGAACCCTAATTTGTAAATGAACCCTAATTTTTAGGGCTTTCCACATGCGTGATGAATTTGTGCTTATTCTGATATGTGTTTGTAAGTTTATGGTGAAAGGACCCTTAAATTTGTAATTTCAAAATGTATGGTGGTGGTGGAAACCTATTGAAATTGCAATTTATATTATGAATTTATGATGTCCCAGTTGAATGCTGATGGTTGACTGTTGGAAATTGGAAAGAATGTGTTATATCACTTATATCAGTTATATGTATGTTGTTAAACACTTATGGTGCCATTGTGGAAGTACTAAGTATGGCTGTATGGTTAATTGGTTATGTTAGTTGTTGGATGTTGAATACTTGAATTGTCGATGCCTTGATGGTTGACTGTGGAAGTGTTAACCCCTAATTTGTGGGCATTTCCATAAAATGATGAGTTCATGATTCATGACTCCTGATTATGGAATGAATTTGTTAATGTGTTATATGTAATTATGTATGTCAGTACTGAGTACTTACTACTGACTTACTGAGTATGGCTGTATGGTTAAATGGTTAATTGGTTAAATTGTTGATCCCTTGATGGTTGATTGTGGTTTGTGGAAGTGTTAAGCACTAATTTGTGGGCATTTTCATAAAATGATGAGTTCATGAATCATGAATCCTGATTATGGAATATGTATCAGTGTATGTCCTTATGTGTGCTTGTGTGAAATGTGAATCACTGAATCCTAAGTTTGTAAGTTACGTGAACCCAATTTTCTCATCCTTAATTCCTTATAGATGGAGAGCAATCAAAATATAAGATGGAGAGCAATCTTCAACTGTTGAAGAAGGAGTACAAACCCCAGGCATTGAGACAAATGATCAACAGCCTATGACCACTCCTAATGTTCCTGCTGTTAAGAAGAGGAAGGAATTAGATTCTAGATCCATAGTGTGGGAGCACTTTGAAAAGATCAAAGATGTTGATAATAAAGTGATTAAAGGCAAATGCCTTTACTATGAAAAACAGTATATTTGTGAAACTAAAAAACATGGCACATCATCATTAAGAAATCATATGGTGAGTTGTCTTAAAAATCCACATTCAAAGGATACAAGGCTGTCTCTACTCACATTCAACACTCTGTCCACTTCTGAGAGTGGAACAGAGGCTCCTAAGGGTGGAACAGAGGCTCCTGAGGGTGTTTTGGTGACATGGGTATTTAATCAAGATGCCATTAGGAGGGCCATTTGTAAGATGATAATCATAAATGAGTTCCCTTTTAGGTTTGTAGAGGGTCATGGGTTCAAGAGGTTTATTCTGGTTGCTTGTCCTAGGTTTCTTATCCCTTCTAGGTGGACCATTTCTAGGGGCATCTACCAAATTTTCCTTGATGAGAGGCTAAACCTTAAGAAGTTGTTTAGAGTGGGCACTCAAAGGGTTAGTCTAACCACTGATACATGGACTTCTGTCCAGAGAATCAATTATATGTGCATTACTGCACATTTTTTAGATGACCAGTGGAAGCTTCATAAAAAAATTATATCCTTTGTCCCAGTTTCTTCTCATAAGGGGGGAGTACATTGCAAAAGCCCTAGAGAGTTGTTTATTAGAGTGGGGAATTAAGAATGTGTTTACTGTAACAGTGGACAATGCTTCCTCTAATGACACAGCTACGGTGTTTTTTAAGAGTAAACTGTTATCTTGGGGTTCTTCTTCTGTTAAGGTTCAGTACATGCACATGAGGTGCATAGCCCATATCCTGAATTTAGTGGTCCAAGATGGGTTGAAGTTTGCAGATGAGTCAGTCAAGAGGGTGAGGAATGTAGTAAGATGGGTTAGGAACTCACCAGCGAGGCTGACAAAGTTTAGAGAGTTTGCTGAACTATTTGGTGTGGAAGCTAAATCAGCTTTGCATCTTGATGTCCCTACAATGTGGAACAACACCTACATTATGCTCAACACTGCAGTTCAATATCAAGTAGTGTTTGATGCATATGAAAGAAATGACCCCTCTTATTCCGCTGACTTGGGAAGTGCTCCTTCCTTCTTGGATTGGTGTTTTGTGGAAAGCTTAGTGAAGCTGTTGAAAGCATTTTATGATATGACAGTGGAGATCTCTGGTTCACTTTATGTCACATCCAACACATTCTTCTCTGAGATCTCTAATCTCAGTTGCATGCTTGAAGCTATGGTGAACTCTGTTCATGAGACTGAAAAGGTATTATATATCATTTATCTTTAAATTTGTTTGCTTTATTAATTTTTGTAAGTTGTAAACTTGTAACTTGTTTTTTTTTTTTTTTGTTTTTTTTGTTTTTTTTGTTTTTTTGTTTTTTGTTTTAGGTAATGGGGACACAAATGAGAAACAAGTTTGACAAATATTGGAGGGGTCCAGAAAAAATGAACTCTATCATTTTTTTTGCCAATATTCTGGACCCCAGAGATAAGGAGGAGTGCATGTCTCATCAGTTTGGCACATTTCATCTCAGTTCCTCAACTTGCTCCTGTATGAAGCCTATGATGAACTTTATTTGTTGAGAATTTTGGAAAAAAAAAATAGGAAATAAAAGTAAAGGATAATACTGAATTTTCCTGTTGCAGGTTGGGGAATCGGCCCTGAATGTAAAAGTGTACTGCAAGAAATTACTGAACTCGTTGACAAGAAGGTTGCATCTAATAGTAAAGAAACTAAGCCATTTTTGGTTAGCATCGACTACGAGCAAGAAAGTGATGGCGAGCAATGGTGATGGCATCAAATACAATTTGCTTTAGAACTCTCAGAGTATGCCCACCATCTCCCTCTTTATTTAATTTTCTTGTGTGAATATTTAATCTCAATCAATTCTAAATTATTTTTCTGCAACATTGATACCTGCATTTGCATTAAATATAGGACTTGCACTTTAGTTGGTCCTTGTTATGAAATTTTATTTATCTTTATCGGATTTTAAATATGGAATGCAATTATAACCTGTTCAAACATTATTGTATCGTGAAAAAGGGGAGTGTAAATCTATTGATTAATTGTGACTTACAATGGAGTTTATAACTTCTTTTTATATCTCTTGCAATAGTGATCATTGCAGTTTCAAACAAGTTAGCTAGCTTTATTGGTTGCAAGCTGGGTCTCTTGCCTTGATCTACTTTATAGATTGTGCTTTCATTTCTTCCAACTCAATGTTTGATTGTTTGAAGTGAAAATCTGTTTGTATGTGCATAAGTGCATTATGTTAACAGTGATTATCTAAAATAAGCATTCCGAGTATAGTCATGAAATGAATGTTAAGAATCAGTTATGAAAATGTGCTTATGCATAACTTTTACTTAATTCTACTGCATCATATTATTCATATATCAAGACCACTTGCAAATTCAAATTTATATATAATACTCCGTAATAATGTGTTTGAAAAAGCAATTAATTTGCTGTTGTTCTGTTGTTCATGGAAATATGGAACAACTTCTTTAATCTGAGAATCTCTTTCCAGCAAATTAGCAAATATTTGACTTTCTTCTGCGCTATAACCCTACTTTCATGCTTTCTTAATTACTCCTAACTTATTTCACATTTCATTGCAAATTTATTATATCTATACAAATTTATTTACTCACTTTTTACATGTAGTTCCAACAAGTTGATTATGACAAAACGGTTATTGATCTGGTGCGTTCTGAATGGGCCGATATTCTATCAACTTATATAGAGTAGGTATGATTTGATCATTAGAACATTGTGATCATTTAGACTTGGTTCGTTGAATTGTTTTTTGTAGTATTATGACTTGGATGATATATGATTCGATTAGAATTGGTCATGGAAGTATTTAGACTTGTTATTTTGAACCTTAGCTTGTGCAAAATTATGTAACTACACTTGACCATGGTGAATGGATAAATTGATTTTTTATATGATTAAAATTTAAGCAGGTTAAAAACCGTTGTCTATTTTACAATAGACAATAGATTGAAACTGTTGTCTTTTCTACAAAAGACAACAGTTTATGGACGTGACTTTTAACAACAGCGATTTCAACAACACACAATAGACAACAGTTTATAAATGTTGTCTTTTAAAGAAAAGACAACAGTTAAAAAACATTGTCTATGTACATCACTTTTAACAACACCGGTTTCAACAACATTGAATAGACAACGGGTCAAAAACTGTTGTCTTTGAACGAAACGACAACGGTTTAAAATCGTTGTCTATGTACATGACTTTTAACAACACCAATTTCAACAACACTAAACCATTGTCTTTTCTAAAACCGTTGTCTATGTTCGTGACTTTTAACAACACCGGTTTCAACAACACTTAATAGACAACAGTTAAAAAACCGTTGTCGTTTATAGAAAAGACAACAGTTAAAAACCGTTCTCTATGTACGTGACTTTTAACAACACCGGTGCTTAATTTATTGCAATATTTTGTGATACATATATGCATTGCATAATTTCAATTGGTATCAGAGCAATATCAGAACATTTTTTTTAATGGAGTAATGGAGGCATGGACACAAGGCATGTGATACGTGAATGGTGGAGGTGATGGATAAATACCGATCACACACTTGGCAGGCAATAGGAGGGATCTCAACACTATAAAAAACCATCTTGCCTCCCCTTATGGATATCATTGTCTAGTTTACTAAATCCTACCTAGCATGGGGGAGTCTAGAGGTAGCCATGGATCGGTTCAAGGTTGAACGAGTCCTGAATCACCCAAGAAAAAAAAAAAAAGAACACATCAGGGTTGGACTTAGCTTAGACCTGAACCTGTTTATAGAGGGCCGGTTTAGGTCTTATAGTCCTATAAAAAAAATTGCCTAGAGCCCAGCTCAAAATCGACCCAGACACGAGTCTAGGCCCGGAAAAAATCTAGCATAGACTTTATAAATTATTATATACTTTATAATGGTTACCACATTATACACTTTATAATATTTATAAGTTATTCAATAATATTACTTGTCTTATAAAAATTTTAATAGTACAAATTCAAATGTTATTAAAGTCTTATAAATTTTTAATTTTGTAAAAAATTATATAAATTTAACCAAATATTAACTTTGAAAAAGTACGAGTGAATATATATATATATATATATATATATATATATATATATATATATATAGGCCCAGGCTCAAGATTTAATTTATTAAAATTTCAATTTCAAATTAAAAAAGTAATACATTTTTGAAACATTCGTTTTGGCAAATTATGCCGTCCAACTGTGTGCACCATTCATGGTGCACAAGGAGTTGGATTCATAATTTCTATACTATAGATTCATAATTATTGAACTATATATTCATAATTACAGAACTCTATATTCATAATTCTCGATATTCATATTCGCAATTGTTGAACATTGTATTCACAAATCACAGAACTATATGTTCATAATTTGATAACTATACAGTTTAGAAATTATGAATCTATAGTACAGCAATTATGACTCTACACTACATATATTATGAATTTACTGTATAGAAATTATGAATCTACTGTATAGAAATTATGAATCTACGGTTTAGAAATTATGAATCTACAATATAGATTTTATGAATATACAATATAGATTTTATGAATCTATAGTATAGAAATTATGAATCCAATTCATATGCAGCTTGCATGGTGCACACGATTGCACAACATAATGCTCCATTCATTTTTCATCCAATCAGAATGAGTTTACAATATAATTGACGTGCCAAAATAAGATCATCACTTTTGGTTTATCATTTGTAAATGGGAAAAAAATCCCTTTTTTTTTTCTTTGAATGCTATTAACACTATTACAATTTAGTATCTGTTTATACATATTTTCTCAACCTACTAAAGCACAAAAAGTCAATGCTCTCACACTGGGGTAGTCAATCTTTTTTAATCAATTACATATGTGTCTTTAGTTATTTTTAAACTCGTCAACAATATAGTGTGTTTTGGTGTAATGAAGCCCAAAAACCAATTAGTAATCTGCTATCTCTATCTGAAAATCTTTTGTTCATAGATTAGTAGGTGTTTTTCAACTTCGATATCAAATTCAGTTGGGTACTTATTTAGGTGCTTCATTTATTGTTATATTTTGTGTTACATATCTTCATTACATGATTTCAATTGATATCAGAGAAATATCAGAACATTTTTTTATATGGTTTATTTTTATTTAATGTAAATATTTAAACTATGAATATTATTACTTTACAAGATCAACTATGGCTAGAGATCTACCCTGCTTCTGCTTTCGCTACTATGAAGTTAGGTTTCCCGTAAATCATACTCTGTATGGTTAGACTATATTTAGATCAAACAAAAAAATAATTCTTTCAACAATGGCAAATCCCTTTTGCTGCAAAGTACGATTGTATGTGCAAATCACTTTAGATTTTTTTACATGCTTTTGTTCGAGATGTATAAATGTTAAAAGAGAAATACATGTAATCTCAATTTTGAAATCTTTTTTTTCAAAGATTATGAGGTGTTTTCCAACTTCGTTATCAAATTCAGCTGTATACTTATTTAGGTGCTTAACTTATTGCAATATTTTGTGTTACATATATGCATTACATAATTTCAATTGGTATCAGAGCAATATTATAACTTTTTTTAATGGAGTAATGGAGGCATGGACACAAGGTATGGGATACGTGAATGGTGGAGGTGATGGATAAATACCGATCACACACTTGGCAGGCAATAGTTGGGATTTCAACACTATAAAAGACCATCTTGCCTCTCCTTATGGACATCATTGTCTAGTTTACTAAATCCTACCTAGCATGGTGGAGTCTTGAGGTAGCCATGGATCGGTTCAAGGTCGAACGAACCCTGAATCGCCGAAGAAAAAAAAAACACGTTTGGGTTGGGCTTAGATTAGACTTGAACCGGTTTATAGATGACCGATTTAGGTCCTATAGTCCTATAAAAAAAATAGCCTAGAACCCAGTTCAAAACCGGACTAGGCACGAGTCTAGGCCCGAAAAAAATCTAGTATAGACTTTATAAATTATTATACACTTTATAATGGCTACCACATTATACCTTTATAATATTTATAAGTTATCCAATAATATTACTAGTCTTATAAAATTTTTAATACTACAAATTAAAATTTTATTAAAATTTTATAAATTTTTAATTTTGTAAAAAATCATATTATTTTAACCAAAAATATATATATATATATATATATATATATATATATATATATATATATATATATATATATATATATATATATGGGCCTAGCCCGGGCCGGCCCAGGCTCAAGATTTAATTTATTAAAATTTCAATTTCAAATTAAAAAAGTAATAAATTTTTGAAACATTCATTTTGGTAAATTATGCTGTGCAACCGTGTGCACCATGCATGGTGCACACAGAGTTGAATTCATAATTTCTATACTATAGATTCATAATTATTGAACTCTATATTTACAATTACAGAATTCTATGTTCATAATTCTCGATGTTCATATTCCAATTGTTGAACTCTTTATTCACAAATCACAGAACTATATGTTCATAATTTGATAACTACACAGTTTAGAAATTATGAATCTATAGTACAGAAATTATGAATCTATAGTACAGAAATTATGACTCTACAGTGCATATATTATGAATCTACTGTATAGAAATTATGAATCTACTGTATAGAAATTATGAATCTACGGTTTAGAAATTATGAATCTACAATATAGATTTTATGAATCTACAGTATTGAAATTATGAATCTATGGTAT